TTATTTATGTTCAGTATATTTTATACCTTATTTACTTTTTATACTTTGTGCTTCACTCAGAGCTATAGGTTCATAAATACGCTCATAGGAGCAATGCAAAGTCGAAACAGCTGCTTAACTTGGCTAAAAAGAGGCCTCTGGTGGTGGCTGTGAAGTATAACTTCTCATAGTTTTATGAAATATGTATTTTGATGACATAATTTGCTATATAGAAAGTTACAGAAAGCAGACTAATCACTTAGATTTGAAGTGAAAATTGTGACATATTACCGCTCATTTCCAAAGCTCTAACCATTGCAGCCCATCCTTCTCCATGCCTATGGCACAGTTGTCAAATTAGTCTTAAAGTTGCTTATACTTCCAGTTATGTGAAGCATCTCATTTTTAAATAGCTGCATTGGAAACTTCAGTGTTAAAGTTATTTCTTTTCTAAAGATAGTAAAAATTAAGGTTACAAGGTCTGCTCCAACAAGTCTTTACCAACTCTGAAGGCTCCTTCATCTTGTTTAAAAATTACATAGACTCAAAAGGAAAATTCACAAAAATATTCCTACATAAAAATGCAGCATTTCTTGGGTATGCATAAAAATAAGCTTGCAAAGTAAAATACATTAAACTGGCAAATGCATAAAACTTCTGCAAAATTCAGTGCCTTTATTAAAGCTTCATGACACCCATATGGAGCATAGGGGACCCAAGTATCAGGCACATGATTACGACCAATCACACAGCCCCCAAGCAGCTAGATAAGGCTCCCCGCCTCCTAGAAAGAGCCAGCAGACAGGAGAACCACAATAACGTGGAGAGTTGTAGCAGGTCTGTGAAGGTTGGTACGAGAGATGGGAACAGAGATGTGGGTGTGCAGGGACTGAAAGCAGCAGCAGGCCAAGGACTAAAATAACAGCTTGTACTGGTCACAGAGGACACCACCCCCAGCAGTAAAGCTGAGGGATGTGGTTTTACGTCAAAACCCCAAGTCCTGCTCTCTGATAAGATCACAGCACAGAGGACCATGCATCTCAGCACCAGCAGAACAGCAATAAAGTTGCATCATATCACATGCACTATCCTCTTCCTCTTCATCCAACAGGGCAAGGAGATGACAGGGAAGTTTCAAACATACGTAAGACAAGAAAACACAAAATACTGGCCTGAGATTTAAGGTGGCTGAAATAAGCAAGAGTCTGAGGCAAAGGACAGTCTGTAACAAACCTGATGATCTGCTTATTGGTTTCACTGGAGTAAAAGCAATGCCATTGTCATGTAGGAGCCCACAAAGATGATTTAAGACCAATGGACAGCTAAGGACTTTTTGTGGCATGGCCAACTTTTCTAGACCCTCTCAGTCACTGATACTCACATCTCAGGAAGGGAATAACAAATCCTGTCCCCAGAACTGACGCTGTAAGCCACTGTCCTCTGCAGCAGCAGATTCCTCTTGGGATGAGGCTACAGCAAGCAGCTACCATCTACTAGCATCTATAAAGATGTAGCTTCCATCCTTTTATTGATGTTGGTGATTACCTTAAAACCTGTCCAGGATGCAAATTAAGTTTATAAGTTTCAGTGCTACATAGCACCAAATGCAAACCACTAATTATTTTTAGCTGAGCAAAACAGACAAGATCTACAGAAGATGATAATTTAATATTTCTCCCATCAGACTGGCCAGCCTGCAGCCATACTAACATAAGAGCAATGCTAACAACATCTCTTATTTGCTATTTATTACAATAAATATCTGAACTGGCTAGCCAATGTGCACTATATTTGTCCAGAAATAACTCTTATTCCTCAATAATAAACTCATTAACAGATTTAAAGCAATAGGTCTATCTGTTACATCTTTTTATTTATGCCACAGTTACCTTAAAAGATGTTCAGGATGGAACAACAAAACAGATTTAACAGCTTTGTTTTCATAGACTGACAGCTCAGATCTTTAAAGAAGAAAAAAAATAGCTAAAAATAATGGAATGATATTACTTGTGCAGAAGGGATTGTGAAGCATTTATTACTGCCAAAGTTTCTCTTCATACTGATGACAGCAACTCAACACATTGCAGTTTTTACAGATAGAAAGTACATCCAAGTAATATAAAATACACTGCAAACAGATACTGAAAACGCTTCCACCGAGAAGATCAAATTTATATGAAGCAACACATAGCAATGCGTGCAAGTACACAATTTGTTGCACATTCACAACTGGACAATGGGCCACAGCCAAAAGCAGACACCCAGCATAGATCTTTCCTCCCATAATCTGCTCCATCCAATCCCACTGGCAGTCCCTCAGGCAAACATAACAGTAAAATTAATACGGTGGAGAAATACAAGCTTTGTCATGGAGTAGCAAACCAAGGGCTCATCTTTCCCTTTATCACACTTACTCTGTTGACACTCTACCTGACCAAGAGGCAAGCCCCTTACTGAGCAACTACAGAATAACAAAACACTCATCCAAACAATTCACATACTCCAAATACAAAGAGAGTCATATAAAGTGTGCCTGGTCTGCCCTATATAAACATCTGTACAATCTGACCCAGCTGTACATAAGATACCATATTGCCTTAAATTAGAAGCTACAGGCAGAGAAGGTACCTGATGGAATCACACACCTTTTTCAAGTCCATGGGTTTCCTCATCCTTATGGTTATTTTAACTCAGTAAGCTACACTTAGTAGGCCTGAATTAACTAAGCTGCAGACATCTCAAGTTTGAGTCATTTGATCAGCAGCATAAAATGAGTGAGTGTACAGAAACACAATTAGGACCCAACGAATTGTTTGCCATGGTCCTGCAGGTCTGTGGGTTTGCCAGCTCAGCGAAACTCAGCTCTAGTAGAAGCAGCAAGCATTCTGCTAACCCATACAACTTACCTGACCTTAAATCAAGGGAGTCATTACTGTAAAGTGAGGGGCAAAACTCTGGCTATGCTCTAATTGTTAATGCTGTAAATAATACAAAGACAAAAACACCTGCAGAACCTTTCAGAGCACTGTAATCCAAAAACATGTTCACCAACATTTGCACTGTTGGATGACAGTCAGGGAGCAGCTCTTCTCTCATAGTCCTCAAGTAGCTTGACAAAAAAAAAAACGGTTTCATGGAAGAGACTTCAGACTATTTCTCATGCAGTAGCTATGGAAAAGACCTGTCCATAGGAGAGCTCCCAAAGCAGCAATACTAACATTCATTTTGTAGCATCTAAGTTTATTCATGTATTTATAACGTTAAAACTACCTCATCAAACAGGTAACTGAAAAAAACTAAGTGCGGGGAAAAAAATTACAAGCACTGTAAATAATGCATACAAAAATTTGCTAAAATTCAGGACAACAGGAAAAAAAGTTAGATCATTTGGAGCAGAAAAATCAAGTTTTCCAGATACAAGCTTTTGCTTTAATAACCTCGTGTGTTTGGTGGGTTTGTTTGGTTGTTTTTTTTAATTTCCCAAAAGACACTTTTAAAAAGTGTATCTGTAAGGAACACCAGCACATGGTATGGGTTGACCTGCTGGAAAGCAGCTCCATGGAGGAGAACCTGGGAGTCCTGATGGATAACAAGTTAACCATGAGCCAGCAACATGCTCTTGTGGCCAAGAAGGCCGGTAATATCCTGGGGTGCATTAAGAACATGACCAGCAGGTCAAGGGAGGTTGTCATCCCTCTCTACTCTGCCCTAGTGAGACTACATTTGGAGTATTGTATCCGGTTCTGGACTCCCCAGTTCAAGAGAAAGCCCAACAGAGGGATACAAGGATGATTAGGGGATTGAAGCATCTCTTTTATGAGAAAAGGCTGAGAGAAGCTGTTAGCCTGAAGAAGAGAAGACTGAGAGGGAATCTTATAAATATCTAAAGGGCAAGGGTCAAGAGGATGGGCCTAGTCTCCTTTCAGTGGTGCCCAGTGATAGGACAAGGGGCAACAGACAAACTGGAACACAGGAAGTTCTGCCTCAGAGGGAGAAATTTCTTTACTGTAAGGGTGACAGAGCACTGGAACAGGCTGCTCAGAGAGGCTGTGGAGTCTCTTTCTCTGGAGATACTGAAAACTTGCCTGGATGCATTCTTGTGCAACCTGTCCTAGGTGAGCCTTCTTCGGCAGAGGGGTTGGACTCGATCTCTGGAGGTCACTTCCAACTGTGATTCTGTGACCTTGGGATTCTTATTTACATTTACAAAAATGTTTGGAAAATACTTCCCCTTCCATTTCCTCTAAGGTCTTTCCTCCCAATAGCTCTTAGCTGCAGTTTGAGGCTGGGAAGGGGGAAGAGGTAAGCAGACCAAGGTTTACGTAAATGCAGTAACTACTTCTCATGTGTCTTAGTATGTGGAAGTCCAAATTCCAGTTTCAGCTGCTCACAGCTTTGAAATAAATTCTTTGCAAAATCACAGACTCCCCATAGAGCAGACAAGGACTTCACAGCACCCATGAACTTCAAACCAGATAGTCTGAGAATAGTAAATGCTGCCTTTTCTCCCCAGTCCAAGAATTCATACACCTTAAATCAAAATGCCTATTTCTAAAAATATGGATAAACAAAACTAAGGTACATTATTGCAGACCTAAAACTAGATAAATGTCTTGGTGTGAAACAACAGGGAAAAAAGATAAATATTTCACGTGATCTTTTCAGACCCAAAGACAGCAAAGATGACAGAAAGAGTCAGAAATAACGGAAAAACAGTTTTCAAGCACAAGTCTGATTAAATCTTGCCTTCTGCTTCAATGCAAAGAACAGGTTTTGTAACGTCACTTTGAACCCTGAAACATAATTCTCTTTCAATGCTAAAGCAAATGTTTAGTTCCTGTAAAATGTGAATTTACTCTTCCTATATGATACAGAAGAATACAGAACAACACATTCAATACAAAGCAAAAATGTAGGCTTTTTAAAAACCTTAAAGAACAATATCATCATTATGTGCATTTGAATTGTTATTACCAGGGTTTTTGGTTTGTCTTGGATTTAATTAACACACGTTTCCTTACCTTGCAAACCGTCTCTGCATCCCAGGGTAAGATGGTCCTCAGATCAATAACTTCACAGGACACACCCAGCTTTTCTTGAGCCATTGCTGCCACCTCCTTGATGACATGTACCTGAAAAAGCCATTTATTATCACCAAGCAAACATTTAATTTCTGTTCAAGATGATCTACCATATTACCTGCATGTTTAGCAGAAACCTTTTCATTCAGTAATCTAATAAGCATATATTACTCAGTTCATTCTCCTATTTAGTATTACATTATTCCTAGTATTTTAGCACCACTTCAAATATTACCTTCAGTGAAGAATCACTGAAAACAAAACTGCTGCTTTCTAGAAAAGTATCTTCCAGTGAACAGTATCAGGCTACTTTATATTTTTAGTCAGTCTGGGGGTTAGGATAAGGGTTTTTTCAGGACTGAAACTAAGCTAAGAACCAGCAAGGCACCTCCCCTGGTAGGCTCCCTTACAAGCTGAGTCAAGAAGTTATCTTCCACACAGTCCAGGAAGTTCCCTCTCTGCTGTGTTATATTTCCAGCAGATGTCTGGTAAGTTGAGGTCCCTCACAAAAGCAAGGGCTGGCAATTTGGTAGCGTCTGTCAGTTGTCTATAAAACATTGGATCAACCTCCTCATCCTGGCTGGGTGGTCTACAATAGACTCCCAACAGGGTATCCACCTCGCTGACCTGCCTCAACTTTATCCATAAACATTCAACTGGTCCATCACACTTGTTGACCTCCAAGCAATCAAAACACAAATCAAAATACAGAGCCACCCCACCGCCCTTTCTATCTTGCCTATTCCTTTTGTAGAGCTTATAGGCATTTACTACAGCATTCCAGTCATGAGAGCCACCCCACCACGTTTCTGTGATGGCGACCACGTCACAGCTGTCATGCTGCACAGTGGCTTCCAGCTCCTCCTGTTTGTTGCCCATGCTGTGTGCATTAGCATAGAAGCACTTGAGCCAGGCTAACGACTTCATTCCCAATCACGCCTTGCCACCCCTAAAGTTGTGCCAGGGGAGGTTCCGATTGGATATTAGGAAGAATTTCTTCACTGAGAGAGTGGGTAGACACTGGAACGGGCTGCCCAGGGAGGTGGTGGAGTCATCATCCCTGGAGGTGTTCAAAAAATGAGTAGATGTGGCACTTGAGGACATGGTCTAGTGGTTAGGGAAATGTTGGGATGAAGGTTGGACTTGATGACCCTAGAGGTCCTGTCCAACCACAGTGATTCTATGATCCAAATACATCCCTGATATATTACTTGGTAATATATTTTGATGTAGCAAGTATCACAAAAAATTACCTGTAAACACCCAGCCCTGACCCCTACAATCAAAGCATATTTGCACTAATATGACAATATGACCATTCACTGGTCTTCCAACACAGTTTGATATCCACATCTCAACATTTGGGTTTAATCAGCATTACCTGATTATTATAACTAGTATTTTACTAAAACAAACAAGTACTTCCCTCTAGCAAGGATCTTGTACTGAATTAGAATACGTCATTCACTATCTACCAGTCAAGGAATGTATTCAGCAGCATATGTAAGGGCATTAAAGTACATGTGAAACAATCCACATCTATTAGCAACCTTTTCATAAGGTATGTTATGATATGAACAGCAAAAAAAGTAAACCTGCATTCAAACTGTATCTTGACACACTATACAACACTTTTTAGCAAAATGTATTGCAAGCATCAGCTTCTCTATAACAAGCGTTAGAAAGCAAATGCTCCAACACAGAAAATAACTGTTATGACAACTCAGATCATCCTCTACAAGTATCTCAGAAAAAAAGTGTTTGTCATAAGATATGAAGGTAAAAAAGAATTTCTCAATATGATGTCCTCATTAAACTCTGATGTTTTCCTTGTTAGAACATTTCACAATACAGGTTTGGACTGGGGTGGAAGAACTCCATCAAACAACTCCTAGGCATAGGTAAGGGGTTGGAGGCCAAGGACCATTCCCAATAAGCAATCTAGATGAGGTCAGCTTGGTCTGGAAGGCAACAAAATTTAACAATATGGACACAGGCAAGATGTGTCTGTTGCCTGCAGGCCAGAGAGTAGTATTAAATTCTACACAGAGCAAAAATCTAATAAATCTACATAATGCCAGTATGAATAGCTAAACATCAAAGAACTATTTTAAAAGGTAAGTCAGTACAAGTATTGTAACAATAAAAAGCAAACATAGCTTGCAGCGTCTCTTGTTTAAACTTCTAATGCATCTGTGGCTGTAAGAGAGTTTGAGAGTTTTCAAGATGACACATGGGACAGATGTTTCTGCTGCAGAAGTGAGAATGTTTAACAAATTTTTATCCCCTCTGAACCAGATAATGACCATAAAACACTGAGCACAACTGGAGAGGTACTAAAGCCTTTACTGCCCCTCATTAGTACCACACAGGAAAGCAAACATCAGGCAACCCCTACAGAGCAGCAGCTACCAAGCAATCTAACATCCGAAATCGTACAAGAAGTAGCCAGTGAGTACGTGCAACCTCTCTGCCTATTGACAACGAACTCTGGATTGCTTGCACGTTTAGCAGTCAAGTTCCAAGTTTATGTACACAGCCTGTAAACACCCTCAGCACAAGCTCACGGAACACGTTTGATCTGCAGGAGCCCGAGACACGGAGAACACGCTGGATTTGCTGCATATGCACTAAGCATCTGTCCCCACGCTGTACGGTACGGCCACTCCCGTGGCTTGCTCAGCTGTAAATCTGGATTAGGGCTGCACATCTGTCCTATTATTAGGTCAAAAGAACTGCCTGTCTTAATGGGCCTGCATTTCCCAAACTCCAAAGCACTTTTTTCTTTTAAAGGATGTCCTCTCTACACAACTGCCTACTGGGTAAGCTCAGGATATGATTAAATAGTCAGCTTTCAAGCCACTACTACGTCAATTTAATTTTGAGTGATATGATGAACATTAAGAATCATCCAAATGGAGCAATAATTTAGACTTTGAAGAGGGGACAGAACTATAGAAACTGTTTTCTGCTGGAGAAATGAGTACAAGTAAAGATATGCAAGGAATACGTGATTTAATACCAGCGTAAGATATCAAACTAGAAGGAGTAACCAGAGATGCAAAGGAGATCAAGTAGTCTGAGGACAAGAAAACTATCCCAGAAGCACACTGAAGATTACAGATTTCAAACAAAAAGGAAAAAGAGACGAAAGGCATAACCCCAGATTATTGAATATTCTTGTGATTAAAGTTATAACACTTCCTCCTCTAAAAGCATCTCAAATATAATTAGGCCAGAAAAATAGCAATTTCCATAATTACAGTTTAAAGGCAATAAAAAGATTTTTCCACTAATTCCAAGCTGGACTCAGATTTCTTTTCTGTAATTCTTGAAAACAACCACGTATTTTTCCATCAGATTTTTCAACATTTGCACATGTTAATTTGGCGAGGAAGTACCCAATCCTACTCTCAAACAGCTTTGAAATGTAGCTGTTAGAATAAAAACCCGAGAAGAAGGTTCTCAGGACTAGTCAGCATGGAGTTACCAAGGGGAAATCATGCTTGACTCATCTGATAGCATTCTATGATGTGGTGACTGAATGGGTCGATGCAGGGAGACCAGTTGATGTGGCTTACCTTGACCTTAGCAAGGCGTTTGACACAATCCCCCATAACATCCTCCTGAGTAAGCTCAGGAAATATGAGCTAAAGGAACAGGCAGTGAGGTGGGTTGAGAACTGGCTGCACAAAAGAACCCAGAGTGGTGATCAAAGGTTTCAAGTCCAGCTGGAGACCTGTAACTAGTGGAGTCCCCCAGGAATCAGTGCTGGGTCCAGTCCTGTTCAACATCTTCATTAACGACCTGGATGATGGTATTGAGTGTCTGCTCAGCAAGTTTGCTGATGACATGAAGCTGAGAGGTTTGGCTGACACACCTGAAGGCTGTGCAGCCATTCAGCAAGATTTGGACAGACTGGAGAGCTGGGCCAAGAGGAACCTAATGAGGTTCAACAAGTGCAGAGTTCTTCACCTGGGCAGGAGTAATAAAATGCATCAGTACAGGTTAGGAGGAGATCTGCTAGAGAGCAGCCCCATGGAAAGGGACCCTGGGGTCCTGGTGGACAACAAGCTGTCCACGGGACAGCAGTGTGCCCTTGTGGCCAGGAAGGCTAATGGTATCTTGGGCTGCATTAAAAAAAAAGTGTGCCCAGCAGAACAAGGGAGGTTCTCTTCCCCCTCTACTCTGTACTGGTGAGACCTCACCTGGAGTGTTGTGTCCAGTTCTGGGCTTGCCATTTCAAGAGGGACAGAGATCTACTCGAGAGAGTCCAGCGAAGGGCTGTGAGGATGACTGGGGGACTGGAACGCCTGCCCTATGAGGAGAGGCTGAGAGACCTGGGGCTTTTTAGTCTGGAGAAGAGAAGACTTAGGGGGGATCTAATTCATGTGTATAAATATATGAGGGCTGGGTGTCAGGAAGAAAGGGGCAACCTGTTTTCACTTATACCCTGTGACAGGACATGGGGCAATGGTCACAAGCTGGAGCACAGGAAGTTCCACTTCAACATGAGGAAGAACTTCTTTACTGTAAGGGTTACAGAGCACTGGAACAGACTCCCCAGGGAGGTTGTGGAGTCTCCTACCTTGGAGACTTTTAAGACCTGTCTGGATGTGTTCCTGTGTGACCTGCCCTGGATTAGATGGTCCTGCTCTGACAGGGGGGTTGGACTCAATCTCCAGAGGTCCCTTCCAACTCTATAAAGGGAACTGTGCTTTTTTAAAACATGCAGAAAAAAAAATGTGCTTTTCTTTCAGCATACTACTTTGAACTCTCCTCTCCGATTGCCTTCCTCAGAGTCACATCTCACTGTCCCATTCTTAAATATATAATTTCATAACCACAGATGAATCATTAACCTCCTGCACAAGTACCTCTTCCACATTTCCAGAGTCAGCTTCAACCAAAAATTAAAATCTTATATAATAAAAATCAGGTTTCATATACAGATGAACACTGCCAATCATTTATTCAAGCATACAGTGATGGAAGATGCACAAAGTTAACCACCTGGCACTTGAGCCTGAATGCAACACTATCCAAACATCACCTAACCCTCAGCCTAGACTTTGCTAGATGACAAATAGCCTGGAAGAGCCTTTACTGACCTGAGTGCCCCAAGCAACCAGTGTCACATCACTGCCCGTCTGCAGCACCTCAGCTTGTGACAGTGGAATGTTGTAGGGCTCCACAGGAACTTGTTCCACTGCATAAATAAAAACAAAGGAAAAAATATACATTAGATTCCTTTACTTTTCAATATTATCCCATAAAACATACTCTAAATTTTTTTTTCAATCTTAATGCTTTTTAAAACAATAGACCAAAATCATATTATTAGCCTTTATTTCAAAGGTCTAGTTTAATTAAAAATATTTTTAATTATACTGTTAAACACATTCAGTGTAGTGTTTCATTTATGCTATATACCACAGCAATGAGATATACATACACACAACAATAGTACTAAGTCCTGGCATACTCCAAGTTAAAATATCATCATCATATTTGGAGATGGACAGTGATATAATTGATTAAAAAAAATCTTAAGTAAACACTGCAGTTAATTCTAATAAGCATCAAAAGAGCCTTGAAACTGGACATGAATATTCAGACAAGAAAGAAAAGCTGTGCCAGCACCCTCCTAATATTTGCCAAGAATGATGTTCCACCATTTTATGCCTAAGCAAAGTTTTCATAACCTACACAGAAAGTGCCATCATGAAGTTCTAATTGCAGAATTTTTAAACTCGTCTAAATTTTGCTTTGAAAAGGTGTTATCTATTCACCAAAATACATCACAATTAGAGACAGCAGACAAAAATTAAGCATCTTGTGTGTCCTAAGACATTTAAAGTGGTTCCACTCAAGACCCATTTACTACTTTTCAGATGGGAACATATTAGGACAGTTGTGCTAGTTTCAAATCGATGCTCCAACACTATACACTGACTGGTGTAATGATCAAAACTGACCAAAGACACCCATTTATCATACTTTAAAAGATATATTGTTTTGATCTAAATGTGAACTTGTCTATGTATCAGCAAGTTAAACAGTACTTCTTAAAACAAATTCCAGTGGTAAGCAGTGGAAGGGGGGAGCACGGGGAGGGGAGAATCATACTTGACTCTAAATACATAAAATCAATGTATGAAGAAGGTGCTCTATTTTTTATGTTAACATATTTCATAGTCCATAAAATAGTTATTGAGTGCCTTCTGAACAAAATTTCTTCTTGAAGGTATGATAAAGAAGTCTATTTAGCAATACCAGCAGGAGAAACTGTTTTGTATTTTTCCTTCATTGGTGTGGCAGATAGAGCACAAGTAGAATGACCTAGGTTTTTCCTGGATTAAAAACTAGAAGCAACATTTCAATAGAACAATTGGAGACTATTTTTTTTAAATTACAGCAGATTGATGTCCAGTCAGGTTTTCAGTATTTTCATGGTCAGAGGTTCTCTGAGCAATCTGCTCCTGTGTTTCACCACTCTCACAGTAAAGACAATTTTGCGCATGCTTACATTAGAAACACCTCATTTCACCTGAACAGGGACAGAGGAGACACACATAGTAACTGAATTGTTCTTCCTAAAATCAAAACGAACTCTTTTTTCAGCACAATTCAAGAACACGTGTCCATTCAATCAAGGGAAAAATAAATCAATTTTAAACATGGCAGAAAAATCAGATCTATTTGCAAATTATTATTTTTTATATATTAAAATATCAGTGTCTTTCTTTAATGATGTCTTTGAATAAGAAGTGGCTAAAGGAATATAGGGCAGGGAAAGAAAAAAGGTAAAGGTCTCATGTGTTGAGCTCATTACTTGTTGACAGTACAGCAGATCAGGCTTCTATGGAGTTTGCACATCCTAAAACCCTCAGGCAAAAGAAAGTAGAGGTCTTGAACAATAATGAAACCCACAATTGACACTGGGTAACTGCCTTTTTCGTCCTCACGAAATCTAGGGAACAAGAACCTTATAAAGATGCCATGGGATCACTGAGTGGAAACCCAGGCAACTCACAGGAATGACGTTTTGAAGTGACACTGGGATCCACCAGAGGAGGAACTTGAAGGTGTACATGACAAAAAAAAAAAGCTCCTTTTCTGTGTAATGGTTTCATCCACCAAGGCACAGCAATTTGTGTAATCTTATATTTGATTTCTTATTATAGCTAAAATATTCTGCAACAAGACGACGATTGAATGAATCATAGAATCCTTTAGGTTGGAAGGGACCTCCAAGATCATCAAGTCCAACCACCGAGCCATCAGGGCTCCAAAGTCCTCTGCCAAAACAGATCAGAAGCTGTCAGGGTTGGAAGGGACCACAAGGATCACCCAGTTCCAACCCCTCTGCCATGACCAGGGACACCTCCCACTAGATCAGGCTGCCCAGAGCCTCATCCAGCCTGGCCTTAAAGACCCCCAGGGATGGGGCCTCAACCAGCTCCCTGGGCAACCCATTCCAGGGTCTCACCACTCTCATGGGGAAGAACTTCTTCCTCACATCCAGCCTGAATCTGCCCACTTCCAGCTTTGCCCCATTCCCTCTAGTTCTGTTGTTGCTTGAGATCCTATAAAGTCCCTCCCCAGCTTTCTTGTAGGCCCCCCTAAGATACTGGAAGGCCACAATAAGGTCACCTCGGAGCCTTCGCTTCTCCAGACTGAACAGCCCCAACTCTCTCAGTCTGTCCTCGTAGGAGAGCTGCTCCAGCCCTCGGATCATTCTCGTGGCCCTTCTCTGGACACGCTCCAGCAGGTCCACATCCCTCTTGTACTGGATGAGCTCATCTAGAATTCCTGACACTTTTAAACACAAAATTCAGCTTGGTAAAAATGTATAGGGAAGTGAAGATTTGGTTGAATTTTATTCAACTGCCTTTGCAAACACTCTTCCCTCCACTAACAATGAAGAAAAGTACCATATGAAATTATTCTATGTATATTCTTCCAGAATAATTAACCAAACTAGGACAACAACATTTATATACAAAGCAGCCCATTCATCTCTTACCAAAGATACAAATAAAATATTTAAAATCAAATTTCAAATATAGATTTCAAATAAAGCAATTAACAAGAAGTTGTAATTATCAAGAGGAAAAGGGCAATCAAGTTAATTTCAAGAGGCTGCACCATCTGTTGCTTTTTCTAAACGAGCAGGCTGAACAGCAGAAAGAAAACACATGTTTTCTCATCTTACCTGTCTTGTCTCTATAACAACCACTGATGCAAGTCATATTTATTTCTACACCACCAGTGTCATATATAGTACAATTAAATGAAACTGAAAAGGTCAAAAAACATCAGAGTAGGTTCTCCACAAGATGTCTAAACCTGATAATGTCAAGGTGACTCATCTTCTCCTTTGATTCATAATCATTACGTGCTCTTGACACTGCATAGGCTGTTAACTACTGTTATAAATCAAAGACTCGTTTTGCTTTTTAATTCAGATATTTTCTTACTATCTCTGACATTTAGGGGGACATCACAACAGCACTTTCAATAACATTAATCCCAAAGGTTAACAACGAAAGAATTCTCTCTATATATGCAGACATGTATATTTAACTCCACCCTTCTACTCAGAAAGGCTCACATTTCTTTCTAACACAGAAAAAGAAAAGAAACAGATAACATGTTATATATGCCTACATAGAAAAACATTTATCTGTATATAGGGACTATTTCAATTGGTTGCACAACATAACTACTGCAGAATATGAAACCTATCAACTGTACTTATTCAAACAAAATAACTATCTCTTCTGTAAGTTTTAAAAATTACCATTAACAGACACCCACTCTCTCCTTTTGGTGTTACTAGAGCTTTTCAATATCAAAAGTGTGAGTTAGTTTTTGAATGAAATAGAAAATGGTTTCAAAATATTCTTGCAAAGCTATTCTTCACTTTGGAAGTTGCCTTTTCTCCTCAGTTCATCAGAGTGTGAATATGGTAATCTTAAGGCAAAGTTGCTTCAATATCTACCTTTCTCCCAGGGATGACTAAAATGAAGATTTATGGTCTAATTTTGTTCTTTTATCTTGTGTTGGCAAAGGCATGTTTGGATAGCAAATACTCATATAGAAATGAATGTTCATTTAATAACAGTTTTACCTTGTGTCTGAATAAGCATACAACATATTTGAATAAGCAAACCTGTGTTCATATGGGAAGAGATCTAGCTAAATTCATTATTCAAAAAAACCAGCAAGCAATCACAATACCCATGTGATAGTCACACTCCAATTTACCTTGGAGACCAGCCTTACGTTTCAAAACACCGAGATTCCTTTTTTTTTGTACAATATCTTTACTGTTACAAAAAAAAAAAAGCTCTGCTTGAATCTTGAAAGCCCTATCATCAAGACAAAAAAAAAAAAAAAAAAACCACAACCAAAAAAAAATACAAACCCCACACTGAATGCAACTTATGGTCCTGTACAGCTCCTTGGAGGTATCACAAAGCTGGTTCTGCACAAGAGCTTCCATAAAAACAGCAATGACCTAGCACCCTGCTTGGCATTCTCAAAAAGCAACTTCAGATTATATACCCTACACTAGATATATATTACCTTCCATCACTACCATCCAACTGCTAACTTCAACAATAACAACAATACTTGGGGGCAAAAGAAAAGGGCATAGATTTTTTTGTTTGGCTCAGGTGTAGAGTGTGGGAGGGTTTGTTGGGTTTTGTTTGTTTTGGTGTTTTGTATGGTTTAAAGTTTTAGTAGCTTCAATTCATATGAAAACATGGATCTCCTGTGTTTTAAAGGCTATTCCATCTACAGCCTAATCTAAGCTGAAATTTCAAAGACCTTAAATCTGAAAAAATATCATGGACGGATATTTAGATGCCTCATAGGAAGAAAGAAAATTCCATTAGAGGAGAATGATGTATCTCAAATGCATAATTAATTTTATAAATAGAAAATACTTCCCATTACCCTCTTTGACACCTTAATTTTTCAGTGAAGTCTCTACACACCCACTGTAACATCAGTAATGAAATTCTCTGCAACAAACACGTCTACTCACATGAAGCTAGAACAAAAAAAAAAAAATGATGGGGCAATATAATAATTATTCAATGACTTAGCCATCATCATTGAAATAAAGAAAAATATTTCTTGTCTGGAACAATGAGGTCCTAAATCTTAGAGTGGGCTTTATACCATATTAGATTACTAATATCCTGTCTTTCATAGAATCATAGAATGCTTTGAGTTGGAAGGGACATCCAAAGGTCATCTAGTCCAACCCCCTTGCAGTAAGCAGGGACATCTCCAAGTAGAACTTGTGTCTTATTGCTGGTGCCTCTGGACCAAACAAACAATCAGAACGACGTTGGTCCATTTCTGAATTAACCAGCCCCTCTGGTTTCTATGGTGGAATTACAAGAAACCCTGAACATAGCCAGCAGCATAAGGAACTCAAAAAAAGAGAGTCATTTTCTAGAAGAAACTCGCAGACAACTCTTCTTCCAGTTTTAGCTGATCCAACCCACACAGGACAACTAAACAGTAACAATGCCAAAAGGGAAAGGTTTTCAGTGAAACTAAAAGGAACATCGAATCCTTTCCACAGAACAAAACATTCTTGCTTAATATTGTAGAGATAATAAAAAATCCACTCAAAATTGTCTCAAAAAGAAAACTTACCTGTCACAACCACCCCCGTCACATATCAACACAGACGTACTATCAATTTCAGGCTACATCAATAAACTGATATTCTTATAAATTTTAAGGCAAAAATGGAGGTAGCATCTCTGAAAATCAGGCCATGGGAGTATAGGAGGAAATCTTTTATTCGGAAACTGCCAATATCACCTGGCAGCAATGCTGCAGGTGGTTATTAACCAGCACATAAAACACATTAACCACTATTTCAGCACATCTTTACTCAAGATTTCAACCACAAGGCTAATTTATGTTCACTAGATAACCCAGCAATTGCTTTACATGTCATCTCCTCAAACACAAAAACCTCCCTATGTTCTCAAAACATGATATTGATGTGCAGCCATTCCTTCCACTATGAAAGCAATATTTTATTAACTCTACCACCTGTATCTATGTAAATACTAAAATCTGTATCTAGTAAATACTAAAAAAAAAGGGGTTGTTTTAAAGATGTAGGAATTTTAAACTTACATTTCTTTGTTTATTTAACAGCATTCTAAGACTCAAGCTCGTTTTCCAAACTACTTCATCTAAATGGTCAGACAATTTTATTGCTAAATTTCAGTAAGCTCTCAAAACACACTGTACTTAAGGAAAATGATACCCTTCAAGTGCATCACATTACACAAAAAAGCTGCATGTTTTAAAATATATTGTTAATGGCAATTCTGGGTCTTTTTTTTTTAAATATAAAAGTAAATTAGCAGTTTCCATGGTAAATATCCTATTTGTTCCTGAGTTACTCTGCTATTTTCTTGTAGCTTTGATGTCTGCTTTCTAAATCTTTACTTTGCTATTTTTTGATTATCTTCTGTAGAAAGAGGATAAATTTACTTACAAAATGGATGCACTGATGGAAAAATTCTCCTAAAAGATCCATAGTAAAATACAAACTTTTTGTCCTTTAGTCAACAGTCAATTTATAAAATAGATTGAAAGATACAAGCATAGTTGGTATACAAAGCTATATGGCATAGAAATGCTGAAGGAAGAGTTGTATTTTATCAGCTGCTCATTCACTCTGCCAATCTCCACATGCAAAATTTGTTTTCATCCATTACCTGTTTTCAGTCCAGTTTCTCTAGTCCAAAGCAGTAGCAAGCTAGCTTTTACAACCAACTCAAGCACTACCATCTTCAAATTACTCTGTTCTTATATGTTACTCATAATGACAGCTGATAAAACTTCTTTGAACCAAAAAGTTCACTGCGACTAAAATTTTTAAAGTTATGGCCATCATACTTCCTTTCACATAAGACTAAAATCTGAGGGGGCAGATTTGCAAGATTTTTGAAATTCAGCACTTGAACAATATTTTAACTTTGGGTAAAATGGTGATTGCAAAATTCATTTTTTTTTTTGAAAAATCAAAACTGACCTGGAAACTTATATTAGTATCTAGATTTATCAAAGAGAAAGTTTAACTTCTGACAAATTTATATTGCAATTTGATAAAGCATAATGCCTCCTGTTTCTATTTCTTCTGTATTTTTTAACCTAAAACTGTACAAAGCATTCCGCTTCCACAGTTAACTAAGCATGAATCAGTCTGTGAATGTTCATTTATCTTTGCAGCCAAATTTAGAAACTTTATTCAGTTTACACAATTCCTCTAAAAACACAACACCCAAACATAGCTAGTGACAAAAGTCAAGACTTCTGCTACAGTATTATATTAGTAGTCACAGCTAAAACATGTGCAAAGAAAAAGTGTTGCTTTATTGGAAAATACAACATATACATCTTACCTGCAGCTCTATAAAGTATTTTAGGTTCAAAGAATATGCATGGATTTTTGTCCTCTATACATGACAGCAGCAGTCCTTTGGCCTGAAGAGGACTCCTTGGAATAACAATCTATAAAAATATGATTTTAAATAATTTATTTAAACTGCAATTCTGCCACAAGCTTCCTCACTTACTATTAAAACCTAAGAAATTATTTGCTTTAGATAGACCTATGTACAGATTGAGGAGTTCTTACAAAATGAACTAACATTAGTGATATGTTACTAACACACACTCCAAATTTTGAATTTTATTTTGTTTACTCGTGAGGCTTGAACAATTCCCCTCTACACCATGATTTAAATGCTAATGGATCCCCTCTGATAAGGTAGAACTAAATTCTTAACAATAACCTTCTGAACTAGAAGAAACAGAAGAAAGTCAGATTAAGATAAAAATTATGTTACTTCATTAAAATTAATGTAGATGCATGACAAAAATTTTCAGCTGAGCAATCATCAGTTGCTTGGGTAAAGATCCATCAGAGCAGGGCTGGAAGTTATTCAGACTTAGTCCAGTAAGTTTTGAAGACTAAAAAGGGAAATAGCTGAAGTTCTCTTCCTTTGCTTATGGTGGAAACCTGAATTTGTTCATTTTGGAAATGAACAAACACTAAATAAATGCTTCAAACTCTTATCAAGCAAAGAGAAAACTAAGCAAGGCCTCCAGATGTAATCTGGTCATGTGGAAGGAAAAAGTACAATTGATTTGCCGACAGAAGAGTTAAGTTTGGACGATCTAATACGAGGGTGACAGACCAATGGAATAGGTTGCCCAGACAGGTGGTGGAAGCCCCACCCCTGGAGACTTTCAAGATCAGGCTGGATGAAGCTCTCAGTAGTTTGATCTAGTTGGAGATGTCCCTGCTTATGGCAGGGGGTTTGGACTAGATGACCTTTGGAGGTCCGTTCCAGCCCAGACATTCTGTGATTCTAAGAAAATGTTGATTATCAACACAAAATTACCATATCATCACAATTTAAATTAAAATATAACCCAAGAGCTCAATTCCCTTCAAATCAGAAGGGCCAGCTAATTTATGTCCCAAAGATCTCAAAAAGCTGGCACATGCAGCATGAAGACTGCTATTTTTATAGCTGTGAAGTTAGAAGTGGCCCCCTCTAACTGGAAACATCAGTTGTAGCACTTGTTGGGGAGGAAAAAAAAAAAAAAAAAAAAACAAAACACCACAACTTGTAACTACAGACTTGTTAATTTGCTACCTCTAGTAGTTTCCTAAGTTTCAAAATATTTTCTTATTTAAATGCTTTTACTCACAAAAAAAAGTAATAGAAAAGAGTCAAAACAGCCTAAATCTGCTATCACATCAAATTAACTTGTCAAGTGATTTTCCTAAACAAGGGAGAAGCAGTCTATTAATATTTCACCAAAGCATTTGGTAGCAGACACAGAGGAAATTACCCAATTGATGGATGTTACTAGTGTAGCTCATTAAGGATTTTTTTTAAGACAGACTTTTTTTTTTGTTTATTCAATTACGATATTAAGTCAAAACATGATAATGAAAAATATTCAAAAGCCAAGAGTCACAACCACCGCAGAGGATGATACCAAAAAGACCCAGTTCACATTGAGAACATGACTGACAAAAGCAAAATGAACAATGCATACTGAAAAGTCACACATTAAGGACTACATTTTTGATACAAATTTATAACTCAGCAGTAGAAATTCAACCTGAATTTATTATCTGTTCAAAAGGTGACTAGGATACTCAAAGATAAAAATTCATTCTGTTTCTCAAATATCATGAAATAAAAAAAAAATCTTGTATTATTCACATTTTAAGTAAAGAGAAACAAGTAGGAGAAATGGCTATGGCCTCCCTGTAAATTAATAATATCTGAAGTTTTAGAACACCAAAATCATATACAGACAATAGTTTAAACAACAGATAAACAATGAGCATGTGTCCTCAGCATACAAATACGGTTTTTGTTTAAGTCTTTGACATTAATCAAGCCATGAGTCATTTCTCAGTAGACTGGATGAGTTTTAACCCAAAAGTACATGTCTGTAGACAAAAACTTACTCAAAAAAAATTAACAAGTGGCAAACAGTGCTCTCTTAGTCTGAGACTACTAGATACCACCTCTCCCTGTTCTCCAGCAAAGTTATCCATCTAAGCGCTAGAAATCTTAGTCTCAAGGGAAGTCACCATCTCACAGAAAGTTATCATTCAGATAACTGCACAACAGCTGAACAGGCAGAGACCTGCAGAGCTCATCTGATCTAATGTCCCTGCTGAAGCAGAGCCACCTAGAGCCAGTTGCTCAGGACTGTGCAGAAAAGTTCTGAGTACCTCCAGGGATGAAGACTCCACAACCTCCCTGGGCAATCTGTGCCAAGAGCTTCCTTGTGTTCAGAGAAAATCTCCTGTGTTTCAGTTTGTGTCCATTGCCTGTCACTGTCACACTGTCATTAATATAAATGAATTCAATAATACACTTAAGAAGACAGATGCAGAAAGGAAAAAGATGAAGGTAACTATTATTTGTGTTCAGTTTTAATTTCTGTACTGTACTGGACACAGAACTGATGTGAAATGTATGTTTGTAGTGCAAAAAGCACATAAATGCAAAATGCTATGTTTACCAAAGATTGCTTCAATAATGGCTATAAATTCTCAAACATTTAATACAGTTCAACTTTTATAACTAGAAAACTTCTAAAAGAGTTTTTAATTAACATATTCAGATATTTTGTTGTGGATTGACTTCTGGCCTTCCTCCCCTGCCTGCACCCGGACTCATTGTTAGTCAGGTCCATTAAAAACCAAACAAAATTAATCTTTATAAAATAGGAGTTACTGTACCTTTATTCCTGGACAATGAGCAAAAAAAGCTTCTGGACTTTGAGAGTGATATAGTGCACCATGACCCACACAGCCCCAGGGGGCTCTGATGGTGAGATTTCCACAATTAAACAGATCTCCAGAGCGGTAACGATATTTTGCTGCTTCATTAACAATCTGGGAAGATTTATACAGAAAAGTAACACTCAGTGCAATACCTTTAGTTGTGCATCATTAAGCCTCTACAATAACTGACATGTAACCACATCATCTGTGCCATGCATGGCATTCAGAGGACCAAATTAGAAGCGAAGGAATCCTGTAAGTCAGTGAAAAGGCAAATAAAGGAATAATTCAGTGTGTTCGAGTTAAATACCTAGGCCTCAGCAGTAGCCATAAAACCCAGCTGTTTCCCCATTCCCCTACTGTCAATCAGCCCAGTTCAAATCTGCAGTTTGTCCTGTGGACACGTGGCCAGCTGCGGCAGCATAACGAAGTGAGAGATGGTGTTGGGAAGACACAGATGAGGAATTTAAGGCTGTTGAAGCCAACACAGCCACAAAATGAAAAATAAAAACAAGGAGACATTTGCTTCAAGCAACATCTTTAATTCCCATTATTTAATGAGTGTTCAAACTGGCCTCGGAACCTTCCTGTTTACTTAAAGCATGCATAAGTATTAGTAACACAGCTGTGGATACATTTGCACTAATTACGTATTCAAACCAAGTATTAAAGCTTAAAATAAGAGCAATTCAAACAGTCCTGAGATTTATTTTTACTTCTCTAATATAGTAGTACTAACCTGATCAAATGCTGGGAAGATGTAATCTGCAAACTGAATTTCTGCAATGGCTGTAGCACCTGCAACAGCAACTCCAATACCAAAGCCAACAATTCCTTGTTCACACAAGGGGGTGTTGAAAACTCTGTCTTTACCTATTAAAAACAAACAAACAAAAAAAACGCACATACCACAATTCCTTTAACACAACAGCTCTAGGTGGAAAACAGCCTCAGAAATATTCAAGTTATAAGGCACCTACAATTAAGCATACAGCTCTTTAGATGGCTGTTTATTGTTCCTACATCTAAAAAGCCCTTTACAGTTAAAGATACTATAATTTGTAACAGGTCAGAGGAAGACAGGAGAAACAAAACAAAAGATAAGAATAGTGTCTGTAACTTACACTGTTATTAATACTTCAAGGAAAATAATTTGTTACGTATATACAGAGAAGCATGCACACCCCACATGCTTAGATGGGAGAAAAGAATACTTACATTTAAAAAAAACTTATAATAAAGTCTTTTTACTTCAGATCTTTTTCAAGCAGTCAAAACTAACTGTGCATACTCAAAGGCAGATGTATCTACAAAAGCATCTGTATGAAAGCACACTGTCTCTTGCCCACATAACCAGTGCCCAGTCTCACCCAGCCTTCTTTCATAATATGAGGCTGCATTTATTAAAGAATTTGGTTTCTCTCCAAGGCAAGAGGAAAAAAGCTGTTCTTGCTGTTGGAGGCACAAGACCAGAAATCAAATATGTTGGGTTTTGTACCTTCCCTGTGGGAATGCAAAAGGGCATTTTAGCCCTCACAGATTTCTGTGCCACAGTAATTTCATGTTCAAAATATGCACCTATCTAATAGATGGCTGCAGACAAAATTGTTCAGCTCATGAAATTAAAGACAAGAAGTAATGAGATGGATATGAAACACCACTACAATATCTTCTATAAAAGATATTGACAATATTTGCCAGCAGTACTGTACTCCCTCAGCAGATCAACAGGAGAACCTAGTTAGGCTATTAAATTTTGCCTTTAGAACACTGGAAATAAACAGTAGGCTTCTAGAGGGGTTCATTGTGCATGAATATGCTAAGACTTCAAATCAGACAGAAGAGTGAGCACACCAGTGGCTATGAAATAAATTACACAAGTTAAACCACTAAATAAGTAACTAAAAGACAAATCAATTAATAATTACAAAAGTTTTTGCTATGAAGACTCCTAATTTCCATAGCTGCAAGTTAAACTACAGAAAGGGAAGCTAACAAAAGGTTTTAGAAAGAGCTGGTAAGAGGAGAACCATTGCCCACAACCGTACTTACAATATACTAAAGAGAGGTATGTTATACAAATCTTTCAAGTACCCATTCTTTAATCTCCACACATCACCCAGCAGAACACTGGCACAGCTTCTGCTCTGCCCATATGCTTTACCTTATGTTTTGAGTTTCATACTTCAAGGGTTACTTTGTTTTGGGTTGGTTCTCTGGTTTGAAGGTGGGGGTTTTTTTATTCATTTTGGGGGATTTTATATATATTTGTATCTAGATGTAAATATATATCTCAGTAATTAGGTTGTTGACTCTCCCTCTGCCTTTCTCTCTTTTCCCTCCAACAGCAACATAACTAAAACACCACTCCTTTAAGGCAATTAAAATAATGCTATCCAACCATACTACAGTGTTGGTGGTGTCGTTGAAGTTACACATGCCAACACAAGTCCAAAGGGCTACCATAACTGCAGGACACTCCATGATTTTGTATATAAGACAGAGGAAATATTTTCAAGCATTATTATATTCTATATTGTATATAGAATAATATATATACATATATATATATATATATATATATAAAATGTTCTATAATAGAACATAAGTGTTTTATAATAGAACATTCTATTAGTATTTTTTCCTTCGTGTGAATTTCTACTGTAATGTTAACACATACCAATTTACTGAGATGCAGTTAAGTCCGCTTTAAAACTATCACATAACCTACATAAATAGACTAACTTCTGAGCAGAAGAAAAAAAAAAAAGATTGTTGAGAAGTGCCCAGAAGTCAGATCATACTAAGCATACCTAATCTTACTCTATTAACAGGTTTTTTTCAGAGTACAATGGAATAACCGATCACATTGGTAACAAATAATTATGTCATCACACAAAAATGTGTTTGAACAATCCTGCAAAACAATCTTTTAACTAATAATTGATAAAAATTTCAAAATAAATTCTTCAGTATCATTTTGAGGAAGGTGAATTAATTTAAAAGCATGTTAGATCCACTACACTCGTATGCCCCCTACCATTTTAAATATAGAACATACCTTAGTAATACTGCTGAAATGCTATTGAGATATTAAATTAGAGGCAGCATGCTTCTGTCAATGTAGTATGATGAGATGAATTAAGTGAGAATTAATAAAAGCAAGTATGAAATACATAATAGCTACAACATGATCAGCCTGGAGTGCCTAATTAGGACTTTCATAACTAAAGGCGTAATCCTCAAGTATTATGGCTTAAAACCATAAAGAAAGGGTCAGGTAATTGTCACTGAGTGAGATTCAGCCCTCAGGAATGGTTTTTATTGTGCATTTAAAACAATAACAGTGATCACTTAAAAGCAAAACCTAAAGCACTTAGCTGTTCATTAGATGGGAAAACAAGCCTTGGATACCAAGTTTCAAGGGTATATATGTATATATTGTATATATTTGAGGGTTTTCTGTATAGAGAACTAGCCCTTTAACACAAAACAATATACACTTCATTAGGATAAAAAAAATTGTGTTAATTTCCCTAAACATTAAAAATTGTATGGCATAGCTTTAACTTCTTATTTTACTGATACAGTATAAAAATAATTACTAAAGCTAACATAAAATAAAAACTGAACATTTAAAGGTATTAAATGTTCATATATTTTCATCTATTTTCTTTAACACTTATTTTTCACATTTTTTTTCAAAATGTGAAAAAGAAATTTATTCTGATAAACATTCATTCACATCATCATTTGCAGAGCAGCTGAGTCAGATGGCATCTAAAATCTGACCAAAGCAGAGAAATAACCCAGAGATATTTTGTCATCCCATATTTCATTTCCGTATCAATGAAGAAACACTTCCTAAAACGTCCTCTTTCCCAAACGATTTGCGTCAGCCACACGGCTCACAACAAGCTAACACAAACTCCAGGAGGTGACTTATCACTTCAGGTGAAAGCGGCACCTCTGCGTTATCTGAAACCAGGTGCGTCAGCCTCTGCGGAAAGACGTGACGCTGCTGTCCATTCCATTAACCTGCCTGGCTTTATAAACATCCCTAATTCCAGCCATCTGAACAGGCTGGTGCCCTTTTCCAAGGAGTGAGGGAAGCAACAAGGCAAACAGAGTTATGTGAAAAAAGGATGATTCTTCTCATCTCTCCATCCCGATAACTCAGGAAGATTAGATGCATGTTAAGCAAGTGAATAAATACCCTACAAGTGTTACCTAATAAGGTAATCCTGAAAAGTTTAAAAACGTTAAAGAAAAAGCAATATTTGATTAAAAGCTACTTTTAAACATTTACTTCATCCTCCCCAATCTATTTTTACTTAAAAAAACCAAAATTGATCTTTGTGATTTTCAGAACAAAGAGTTAAGTACCTCACAAACATTCAGATTAGCACTGACCCTCTGTCTAAGGGGCAACAGTTTTAAGGCAGCCTTTCAGTCGTCTTCTTGTCCGCCAAGAATAAAAAGTTTCATAGCAACCTAACAGAACATGTTTACAGACATATGTAGTCGATTATTGTGCATTAATGCTCTGGCCTGCTTCATCTTTATTTGTTCCAAGCCATCAGGAAAAAAGTATTTCAGATTTCAATATCTGCAATGGAACACATTCCTGTCTTAATTTAACTTCAAAAATGAGATATGCAAACAACATCAGATCTCCTGTAATGTTAACACACCACCCAAGGCTCCAACTCTGAGTAATTTCACATCACTAAGAGCGTACACTGGATGATTTGAGTAGTTTAAGGAGTACTGCTAGTGATTTAGTTAAAGCAGGGTGTTCTGGTTTGGTTTTGAAACACTTCTGCACCACTTTTGTTAAAAAGGCATTTTAAAAGATGTCAGTCTGGAGTAGCACTAACAATACAAATGGACAGCATTTTATTTGCCCCCATGATCTCATTAACTTCCAATAACACCCGTTAAAAGTCAAACAGAAGAGTTCAATAAGCTAAATATATTCTGTATTCAACTGCCACAATCATGGAGGCACAGGTAGAAACAGAACACTAGAATGAAAGGGAAGTACTAGCAGATTAGCTTCTTTGCTCCTCACTGGGGACTTTGTAGAAAATTCAAATAGAAATGAGTGACTTGAAATCAGTCCTGCCTTTGAAGACCTGTTCTGATCCTAGAATATCTAGGATTTTTCATAGATGTACATGTAAGCCTAATTCTATTCCTTAATATAATTTAACACAACCTATCCAGCATTCAGATTTGCTTGGTCCCACAGCTCCTTTTAAGCCCCACTTTACAATTGGTGGTACATGTTATCTTCCATTTCTCTGATATTATGTGAGAGGGCAGGCATCACAGGAAGTAGTCTGGGAAATTCACATTCAGCTCTTTTAGAGCTCCTGGTTGAACACAAAACAGTTTTAGTAATTTCTGATTAATTTTAATCAATTTGTTCTACCGCTTCTTCTATTGATATTCTAGTCACAGTTCTTCACCTTTAAAAAAGGGTGTGCACTGTCCACTCTTCCTCTGTAGTAAATACTGGTGAAGACACATTACCTGTCTAGCTGAATAAGCAAATTTCAAATCTACTTCTCCAAAGCATTTGGACAAAAGTTGTTCAGTTTCACAGGCACAACAATGGTTTACCTCTCTGTCTTGAAACCTTGCACACAAGTGTGTCATGCCATTTAAAAAGCTGCTTTTCCCAAATCTGCCCATGTTAAAAGTAGATCACTTCACCTACCTAACAGATGAAAAGTAACTAAATGAAATAAAAAAGATTTCATGGGCAAGTAGCTTGTAACTTCTTTTGATGAATTTCACCTACTGTGTGTAGAATAAAGCCATTTACAGAATTGAGCTTTATTCCTCTCTTGTTCCTCCCCAATTCT